CATACATGCTAATCGAAATTAAGTAAGTACTCATGAATTTAATGAAGACATTCATAGATACCGAAGGCTGAAAAACAGGTGTGCCCGCTAATGTTTCCCTTGTTTCTTTCAGTAATTATTTTGCAGTAGATACTGCCTCTGCTCTAGCCATTGCCTTGATGACGTTTGGTACCATGTATCCCATGAGCGTCTACAGTGGGAAGGTATTGCTTCAGGTGAGCCAATGAAAGAAGTGACTTTGTGATAGCGTCTTTCAGTGTAGCCAAGATTGGCATCACCCATTTAATTTAAAAAACACACACACAGCCACTCACTTTATGAAATGTTAAAAAATGTTCCATATTACACCTGATATGCAGCTGCCTATATGATACTGGACCCAATTTAAGATGCTGCTGTTGGTATATAAAGCCTAGAATGACTTGGAACGTGGATAACTGATGGAGCACCTCTCCCCATATCAACCAGCCTATACTTTGAGATAGTTGAGGGGGCCTCCTTCATGGTTACAGTGCTGAGTGTGCTCTGTCATGCTGGGATGCAAGACAAGCACTTCTTGGTCATTGTGCCACAACTCTAGAATTCCATCCCCCTGGGATTGTGGCTGGCATAATCACTAGTGGCTTCCCACCATATAGTTAAAAACAGAGCTTTTCTAGGTCTTTAGGATCTGATTAGTTTGTTCTGAACTTGAGTGCTCTACTGTTGTAATCTTTTATTTGTTTTACTTGAATTTTGTCTTCATGATTGTATTTTTTAAGACTGTGGGGTAGTGTTATGGGACCATCTGGTGGAAAGCAGTCTCCAAATTTTACAAGTAAATAAATGTAAATTTTAAAATATTTCATTGAATTGTAAACAAAGCCCTACATTGGCAGAAAAAGGCCTGGTGAGAACTGAGCATGCTCAAGGCCCCCAACAACCACAGAATGATGCATGTCAGTCAGGAAAGAAAACCTGGAGGCGTGGGTAGGGAGGGTTACGGAATGGAGTATCCTGGGAGGAGAACACGGCTAGTTTGCTAGAACCTTGAGCAAGAACGCGCCTATTAAGAGGTGAAAGCACAGTGTCATTTTGTAGAGTCCCACTTAGAGTCCTTAGTGCATCCTCAGCAGAAGCTGCTTTCTGGGTGTAGGGGATCTGCTATGCTAACTTCCTGGCATGTGGGCTGCTATTCCTTAACAGAGTGGGAGGTGGCGGGGAGGTCAATGTGCCGCAAACACACTGGTGGGGCCAAATCTAGTGGTCTTCTTGGTGCATCTACATTATGCCAACTTTCCTTCCCCCTCACCCCCTTCCCTTCTGTTAAGCAACTGTAGCCATCTGCCAGGAAGCTGGCATAGCAGCTCCACTCCATATAGTGAGCCACTTTTATTGTCTTTATATTGTTGAGTCATTTAAGAACTTAGGGGGGAAACCCTCTTTGGCAGTTTTTAAAAGTAATAATATCTTTTGTTTTTTCAGACAACGCCACCTCATGTGATTGGACAGCTTGATAAACTTATAAGAGAAGTAAGTTAGTTTAAAATATTACATTGGTATACAGTGGCCAGGGCCACCCTTGCCCCAGAGCATGCACAATATATATATTTTATGGGTTGTGTAGCCAAGGGAGAGGAGGCAATATTTCCTTATTTTCTAATACTGGTGTTTCAGTTTTCAGTATCAATGAAATATTGTGCTTTTTGTAGGAATTTGGTAAACAGCATCTCCCATTAATTTTTGCAATGATGCCTTTGTTCACATTTTTAGTTTGGATACTATAGAAGCTAAAGATACACATTTTTTTAAAAAAAGAATATTGTTAATACTTTACTAATAAATTAATATATAAATATAGAATGTTCAGATCAGTCTTATGAGATGTATCTGATGCTGTCTTGTGTTCCAAGTGGAGTAGCCTTTTGAAGAATGCAGTTGGTAGAAGTATAAATAGGCTTACATCTTGATCTTTTGCATGTTTACATAGAAAACACATTGATTTCAAGGAGGATGGACTCCAAGTGAGCTTTTCTATTAACATAACCCATGGGGCTTTATGAATAAGCTGTCAGAAACATTAGCATTTGAATACTAATATTGTGATTCATTGTGTGTCTTCAATTAGGTTTCTACATTGGATGGTGTCTTAGAAGTACGAAACGAGCATTTTTGGACATTGGGATTTGGTTCTCTGGTATGTATCCCCCCACCTGACTTTATTTTATTTTATTTTTTCAAAACAAAGCATGTCACTCTTTTTAATAACATCACTCGAAGATTGTTTCTCTCCTGCACAGTTTATATGCTTCAAGCGCAGGGGAGCGATGAGCTTATTCTTCTTTGCTTTCTAGGCTGGATCAGTACACGTGAGAATTCGAAGAGATGCTAATGAACAAATGGTACTTGCTCACGTGACCAATCGGTTGTATACGCTAGTGTCTACGTTGACTGTTCAGATTTTCAAAGATGACTGGATTAGGCCAACCTTGACCTCTGGAACTATTGCAAACAATATGCTGAATCTTTCAGATCATCACATCATTCCAATGCCACCTCTAAAAATGGCAGAAAACTCTAATGTAGCTACATCTACTCCAGCTAAAGCAAGTAGTCCACCTCCAGAATTCTCCTTTAACACACCAGGCAAAAATATGAATCCAGTCATTCTTGTGAATACTCAGACAAGGCCCTACAGACTAGGCTTCAACCGTGGAACTGTACCTTACAGCAGTGTCTTCACACAAGGATTTGGAGTCCCAGGAATAGGGGCAACCCAGGGATTCAGGACTGGTTTAATAAATGCTCCCCACAGATATGGAACTGGCACTCAAGGTCAACCCAGGCCCCAATAAACTATTTTCCATATTTATTGTTTGATTATTTTTTTTAATCTATTTTATTGCTCACTTTTTTCTACAAGACTATTCATATTTTTTAGATGGACCAGGATCAAATATTTCCAATCATGAAAATGTGCTTTTGGTGTTTCATTTACTATCTCTGACTGTAAAAGTTGCAGCTATACAAGCGGTGAGCTTATTCATGTTTTATTTTTGCTTTGTAAGTGATTACAGTACAATATATCAAGGAACTTCAGAAGATAACAAATTTGGCCAGAAGTGAGGTTCTATATCGTTTTCTTGATGGTGATGAAGAGTGTTTCCAATTACCAAATTTCTCCAAAACTTCTTTGCCTATGATGTAATCATACAATCATTTTTAAAAGTTACATTTTCCTTAATTGGAAAGGTGTGTGTCATATAAAAATGACCACTTGGAGGTCCAACAGACCCACTTGAAATCTTATTTGACATTAAGAGATGCTTATCTAAATAAATACTTTATATTGCTGCCAGGTTCACAAGAGTTATCAACTCTCCTATGGTGTTAACTATCACAGATTCGTTTTTATTTCTGTCATCTGTGTTTGACAGTGTGCTGGGAAATCTTAGGGTGGTCCTTTTAAACTATTGTTAATCCTGTTTGAAGAGTTCAGAGTAGTGGCATGGTATGTGGAATGAATGCTTTGGTTAACCTAGTAGCATTTTCTTATTTATGGAAACACTGATTTTAAAACTTCTTTCCAGCTGCTTTTTAAAAAGTGATGGTTCCTCTCTGCATGAAGGTAAGCAAGGTGCTTAAATGGGAAGTATAGCAACAGGCCAGTCACTCTGTTTTTTGTTAGCAGTTTCAACTAGCATGGTCAGTAACTGATTTGAGTGCATATTTTAATGTTTTGCTAATAAGTATTGTGATACTTTTCCCTTCATTCTGTTGCCAGTGAAAATTTGTATACCACCTGCCTACATTATATACTGTACCTAGTTTTCCTTCAGTAAGTCCTTACCTACAAGGGAACATGATTTAGATTAGTTGGTGACCAGCATCAACTTTACTTTTCTACCATGGAAAACCACAAAGTGTGGCTGCCTCTCTCCTCCACCCTGCTCTCCAAAACAGTCACACTAACAGCATGCATGGAACCAGGTTGCTGCAGCAGGCCTGTGGACTCTCCCACCTTCTTCCTACCTCCAGGTTTCTCTCCACAACTAAAGGCAGCCATTTACATTCCTACCCTCTCCTGTTGGTGATTGAGAGGACCCTTCTGCAAGGAGGATGTGGGGGGTGGTGATTTGATTTCAGGATTTGACTTTTCCACCTTCCCTTTCCCAAATGCCTTGCTGGACAGAGATACCTTTCCTTTTCTAGCATGTCCGCTGCTGGGTGTCTGGTTATTTTGATTGTGAGATATATCCATTTATTGCTAAAAGGGCACATGATGTTCTTTGAGGCAGGACAACCGTACCAGAGCCATTTCAGGTTTTCCAAGTCACTCTCCTTGATGTGGAAGAAGTTTATATGCTCTCTTCCACCCAGCTCAAAGAGGCGTGTGTCATTGGGTGTGGGTAGAATTTAAAACAGGGCTGAATCCAATGTTGCTGCTCTACATGTGCAGCAGATTTCCATGTGCCCAGTGGAACTTCCTCTCTAAGCCTCAAGATCAGCTGCAAAGGGATAGGGGTCCCTCTGGAGCAGATTTGGGGGTGTTGGGTTCTGTGGGGGAGGAGAGGAAATGGAAGTTGTGTTGTATGAGTGGAACTCCCTTTGGTATAGCCCATACATTCCTTTGGGCTGTTTGTATTCTGCTAAGCCACAGAAGTTGTCCAGTAAAATCAATTACAGTCATACCTCGGGTTGAATGTGCTTCAGGTTGAGCGCTTTCGGGTTGCGCTCTGCGGCAACCCGGAAGTAACGGAGCACGTTCATTCCGGGTTTTGCTGCTCGCGCATGCGCAGACACTCAAAATGACATCACGTGCATGCGCAGAAGAGGCAAAACACGACCTGCGCATGTGCAGACGCGCTGTCGCGCCTTCCATTCAGGATGTGAATGGGGCTCTGGAACAGATCCCATTCGCATCCCGAGGTACCACTTTATCTTACTCATTTTGTATATCTTGGTCCTTCAGACCAACATAACTCTGGAGAACTAAGTGTGAGGGAGAAAATAGGCTCCAACAGACTTAACAAGTGTTTATTTTATTATACAGTGCCAATATACAAGACACTCGCTTATCCAAATGTAAACACAAAGAATGGTGCTCTGTTTTTAAAGACTACATCCAGGTCATTACATATTCAAGAATTAGATACAAATCAGACTTAGGACTTTTATTTCAGAATAACTCAGTAGTGTAAACGTTAGATCACCTATCCAAAGTGGAAAATTTACCAATAGCCTGTGTGGGAACATAATGCTGCAACTGTGAGCTTTGTTGCTATGGCAGGATGTCTGCAAATACATTTGAGCTCCAATACCTCAATTACACAAGCATGGTCTGTAGAATTATATCCTTCTAAATAGTTGTAACTATGGGCTTTAGTATACGGTACAATGCTGTTAATCCTGCATGCCTGGTACATGGTTGAAGGTTCAAACATTCTTTCTAACAAATGCATTCCCAAGTTTGGGGTATAATGAAAGATAATGGTTATAGGGTGTTGGATTGTGACATGTGAGACTAGAGTTAAACTCAACACTCAGCTGTAAAGCTCCCTGGGTGACCTTGGTCCAGTCATTATCTTTTGACTTAACCTATCTCACCAGTTTGTTGTGAGGATAAAGTGTCTCATCTTGTTCTCCTTTGAGGGATACACGTGTACGCAATAAATTCCCACCACTACCATATACTAAAGCCCATAGTTACAACTATTTAGAAGGATATAATTCTACAGACCATGCTTGTGTAATTGAGGTATTGGAGCTCAAATGTATTTGCAGACATCCTGCCATAGCAACAAAGCTCACAGTTGCAGCATTATGTTCCCACACAGGCCCAAACTCTGAAGGGAGGTGGTCGGGAATAAGCAAAGTGGAGGGTGGCAGTGAATTTTAGTGGTGGAAATGTTCTGTGTGTTCATGTACAGGGAAGAGGGACAGGAACTGGGAATTGACCAAACACATCAGAGGATGATTTTTTTTAGCTGTAGTGGCAAAACTATTCCGGTACAATTAAAGCAAGGTGCTGAGATTGAACTGTACAATGAAATCTGCAAGATACTACCACTGATGTGCATTGTGTGTGTTTTTAAAAGGATCTAAAAATGCAGCCTGAAAATGTGTTACATTCAGAGTCAGGGTGACTTGATATATTCAGTGGAATTTAGTTAGGCATCAAGCAGTTGCTTCATCTATGATTCACCTCTAAGCTTGAATTCCACTGTTGAATAATTGCCTGTAGAGATAACACAGTAAGATGGGATGACCCTTCACCTGATAAATGATCGTAGGGCTACGCAATCAGGGCATTGTGTGGTAACATTATGATTTAAAAGAGACCCTTATCCCCCTCCCCACCTTGTACAAAATGGTAATCCAGGCTTAGGGGCTCATTTTAGCCAAAACAAAAAAAAATTCCTTCCAGTAGCACCTTAAAGACCAACTAAGTTAGTTCTTGGTATGAGCTTTCGTGTGTATGCACACTTCTTCAGATACACACATTTTAGCCAGTTAGACTACAAGTTATGGCACAGTAAATGAACATTTACTTTGGAACCTCATACAGTGGACCACTTCATGAGATTCATCTGGACAGAAGGATATTAGAAGAAATAAGCTACAAGGATGGATTCCTCTCATCACCTATCTTCTATTCACATTTAACTGCATACCAAGTATGCACTAAATTATTATCACTTGATGTTAAAGGAAATAGCACTTAATTTTTTGGAATGTTGCTGTAGCTAAAATCATGAAATACTGTACTGAATATCATTGTGTAGCATAATGAAACTAAGCCTTTTCATTTATTTCTTCTTCAATGAAAGCTGAACAGTTGTGTTTTTCCTTCTACTTGAACACAGTTTGGTATAAATGTTTATTTTCCCCACTGCCAGAATTTGGTTTACCCACAGTTGTGTGTACCAATAAACCTTAAAGAATTGCCATTCTTTCCATTTTCCTCTAGGGGGCAGAGATTAAAAACTAAGCTATTTTACATTCCTATAGTCTCCAAAAGCCTGTTTTTGGAAGCAGCTAAAGAGGAACCAGTGGTAGCCTTAAAAACAGAGCAGGAGTTGTGTGGGAGCCAACAGTGTTACATCACAGATTGAGATATTCCAGCACAAATACTTGTAGAATCTTGTTGAGGTTGTCAGTGGTTGGCTTGTCAAGATTTTCTTCATTGTCTTCCATGGTGTGCCACACTCTAGGGAAAGGAGCTGGGATCAGGTGTAGGATTGGAACCCCTGGAGGGAAGAGAACAAACAAGATGATTCTGGAGATTACTGGACTTCTGGTCATGTACTTTACTTGGTTATATAAACACAATAGCACTGTGGTGTTACATTCTAGTCCAGTGATATTTCTTTAGTGAGTATTAGATCAGAAATAATTCCAGAGCTTACTGGTAAGAGGGTAAAGAAATTAGAAACGCAACCATATAAAAAATAACTTTAAAAAAATGATTTCCACCTTTCAAGCCCTACAGAAAATGCAATAATATCACATCATTAGTTAATGCTGAACATGTTTATATTTTAATGTTAATACAGGTATGTATAAGGGCCTGCCTTATATCCCTTCTGCCATTGCCCCAAGTTCTCATCTTTCAGACTCTGCTGCTAAAAGTATAATGTATAAAAAGTTGTCATACCTCTTCTTAAAAATGGGACGTGGTCATCCTCTACTGGATGTCTTCGTAAGTCAGGCCGGAAATAGGGCCTTTCAGGAGAGTAATTGTTTAGCAAACCCAAAGCAACGAGGTTTTGTTCTGCAGGGTTTTAAAAAAAATAAATTAAAAAAAAAGTTTAAACAGTGTATGGCAATATTTTGTTTAAAAAGCCAAGACCCTAAATTTGAAATGTTTTAAACATTTTGACCATCCTTCCCTAACCCAAGGTCCCCAGACGCTAGCTAGAAATGATGGGGGTATAATCTAACAATATCTGGGGCTCAAAGGATAGGGAAGTCTAACTTTGATGCCCAAAGGAGTAATACACTCCCCGGACACAATTTCACATAGTACAATGGCCTTGTGAATGATGCAGCCCGTGTCTTGTGGGGGATTAGCAGCCAAACAAAGCTACTAACATGAGTTTGACCAAACTGTGGGAAGCAGTGGAAGGCAGGAGTGCCTGTCGTGCTCTAGTCCATGGGGTCACGAAGAGTCGGACACAACTAAACAACAAAGCAGCCAAACAAATGCATATTCTTGCTAGTTAGCATGAGAAGGCGCTAATACCACAGAGCTGTATTGTTGATAGGCAGACCATAGAAATACAAGTGGTAGAGAGCGCCCTGTGTGATGTCATTTCCCCTCCTTTTCCTGGAGAGGAAGGAACATAAAATACTTCCTGTTCCTCTTTTCCTTTGACCAGTGTTGGATGCAGACATGTCTCCACTTGCTCCAGCTCCAGGCACATGCCTGAAGCTGCTTATACTGTAAATATTTTGCCTGCATAGATTTGCTGCTGCCTTTGTTGTGATCCAATGCATAATTATAAAGTAAATCTTATTTTTAAACTTACTTTACCAGTTGTCGCCTGATTCTTAAGCGGGTTAAAAGGGGAAAAGCCAACTTACTTCATAGTTGGATTTGCTCAAAACAAGGTTTTACAGCCTAATTCCTATTAATTTTGCTGCCAAGGGTGGGATTTTGAAACTCTGTTCAACCCAGACGTGTGGGAGGAATAAATTGCAATGAATATAAGCTCTCCTACCTATTAAAACCCATCCCCACATGTACTACCTGTGACCCTCCAGATGTTGGTGGACTCTCAAGGGCTGGTGCTAAAGGGACTTGTAGGCCAAAGCTGCCCCATCCCTGATTTATGACATCTCGGGTTGAAAACAAACCAGTTTGGGCTTCTCATATGAAGTACAGTCGTCCCTTGGGTTTTTGAACAGCTTAGTTCTTGAACGTTTTGGCTCCTGAACGCCACAAACCTGGAAGTGAGTGTTCCAGTTTCTGAACTATTTTTGGAAGCCGAACATCTGATGCGGCTTCCAATTGGCTGCAGGAGCTTCCTGTAGCCAATCGGAAGCCATGCTTTGGTTTCCGAATGTTTTGGAAGTTGAACGGACTTCCAGAACGGATTCCATTCGACTTCCAAGGTACAACTGTTCTGCTAAATGCTGGCCAACTAGCAGCCCATGCTAGCAAACACTGGGTAATATCAGCATAGATTTTTATCTTACAGAGTTGGGTCTGGAAGCTTGAAAAAGAAAGGAAGAACCTGGCTATTGTCTCAGATGTTTATGAAATATGAACTCTGCTGTGAATCAACTGTAGGCGGTTGTTTATTGTTTCAGCTGCTTTGGTTTTTTTATTGTTTCAGCTGCTTTGGTTTTTTTTAATGAATTAATGAATTAATTCATTGATTTTAAATGATTTGATCCTGTGAGGCTTATGAATATTTTAATAAATAAAATGTGAGCTGGGTTACAATATGATATGTGAGTACAATAGTCAGAAATTATTCTTCTCATTAAGATTCCACCCCAAGGCAAAAATAATTGCCATATGCAGAGCTGTAAAATTTGGAGAGTAATTTACAGCCAGAATTTAACTCCTACACACATGAAGCTAGAAGAGCTTAGCGTTCCTGTTATGGCAACCATTGTTTTTAAAGTTTTGCATAATCTGATCTTACCAATCGCTTCAAGTCTCCCCAGCCACCGGGCTGTGTTCAGAAAGTAAAGGGGGAATGTTGGGTTCCGAGCACCGATTAAATCCAGTAGCACAAAAAGATCCTATGAGAAATCAATAAAGAAATAGGCCTTTTAAATGTCGCTCACAGAACCCTATAAATATGTTGTACTGACTGGCCCAAATCAGGGAGTATTGACAGACCGAAGGCTTATCCACACGTACCTTTCCTGTTTTCCAAACCCAACCCACACTTTAAAGCTTTTTTTTTTTTTTTTTTTGCTCCAGAGCTTTCCCCACAAAAAAAACCTCCACTCTTTACAGCAGAATTGGAGCAAACGGCAATCTTTGGAAAACCCAAATTGCCATTTGATGCACTCAGAGCTGGTTTTCGTGGGGAAGTTCTGGGGCAAAAAAAAAATTAGAGCTCAGACAATGAGCTTTAAAATATGGGCCTATGCCTGGAAAAAGCGAGGCAAATAGTAATTGAGGATAAGCCCCCAGAGACATTTTGTGACACAGCCATTCACATGGTTGAACATTCACTATGGACAGTGGCTCATACACGGCCCAATGCCTACATACTGCTATTTGAAAAATGGAGATGATTTGTTCCACAATTCCAGTGAGAGAGTAAGTTACATGCCAAATTGCCTCCCTTTTAAAAACCAACAAGACTTTGGAGTGCTTAATTTTGGCTGGATTATGCCCAAGATGTCATGCAAAATAAACTAAAGAAAAGAAAATGCTCTGCATCCCTTAGCTATACCCATCAAAAGATTGCAAAGCACTTTTCTGCCTCCATATACCCCATATCCTTCACCAAGTAGAGGCTTTTCTGGTCCTGCTTCAAAACATTTCAGACAGTTGCACCAATGAGAAATTATATACATATATATATATATCATATATATATCACACAATATTTCTCAGATTTGTTGTCTAGATCAGTTCCTCTAGCGCATGCACCTCACCCTCCTTCCTTCTCCCTCCATAAAGTTCTCACTTACAATGCCCTGAATCTGAGTTGTATGTGCGGCGCCTGGAGGGTGTGGAGTCGATGCCATTTTTTGGGCCAAGTGCCGAGAGCCATATAGAGAATCTGAAGGGGACCATCGGACGAAAGCTTCTTCGCCGTCAAAGAAAATGAGCTGCAGGGAGAGATCTGACTTGCCATTTGTGACAGCCTTCTGTGGGATGAGGGACGGAGGACAAAATGCAAGGTCAGTTGCCATGCTGTGGTTCATGGTGAATGCAGAAACAACTGCAGAAAAGAACCAAATACCTTCAGACAATGAAGCTGCGTGTCCAAGGAACGTGCCAATTCTAGCATCATAGCACAGGGCACCGCTGAGTCGGTGGCTCCGACAAACACTTTGCCGTCCGACTGTGGTGGGAAGTATTTTGAATCGTAATGGCAAGCAAGCACCAAGTGGCGCTTGCCAAGGGGATTGAGGGTGCTGATGATGTTTGAAAAGGTGCGGTATCCGTAAGGAGTATGGCTCTGAAACGTGTCTTCTTCAACTACCCAGCCAGCCTGTAGTCCTTGAAGACGATGCTTGATATGCTGAAATGTATACAGCCACAAGTCAAAGGAGGCAAACATTTCTTATTTTCAAGCAAAACTGTGTTTTGTTTTTAAAAAACTGCCTAGAAAGGTATGCCATTATCTGCTGAAATTCAACACTGAAAGGTTAAAGGTAAAGGAGCCCTGGATAGTTAAGTCCAGCCAAAGGCGACTATGGGGTTGTGGCGCTCATCTCGCTTTGAGGCCGAGGGAGCCGGCATTTGTCCACAGACAGCTTTCTGAGTCATGTGGCCAGCAGAACCACTTCTAATGCAACAGGACACTGTGACAGAAGCCAGAGTGCACGGAAATGCTGTTTACCGTATTTTTCGCCCTATAGGACGCACTTCCCCCCCTCCAAAAATGAAGGGGAAATGTGTGTGCGTCCTATGGGGCGAATGCAGGCTTTCGCTGAAGCCTGGAGAGCGAGAGGGGTCGGTGCGCACCGACCCCTCTCGCTCTCCAGGCTTCAGGAAGCTCTCCGAAAGCAGTGGGAGAGCTGCGCGAAGTCGCGCAGCTCTCGCACTGTTTTGCGGAGAGCTGCCTGGACCCAGAAGCCTGGGGGGCGCTGAGCTCAGCGCCCCCCAGGCTTCGGGCTTCACACAGCTCTCCCACCGCTTTGCGGAGAGCTGCCTGTTCTGGGGGCTGGGGTCGGGGGAAGCTTGGGATTTCCCCCACCCCAGCCCCGTGCCTGGGGGGGAAATAAATCCCCCCTTATTTCCCCCCCCAAAAAAACTAGGTGTGTCCTATGGGCCGGTGCGCCCTATGGGATGAAAAATACACTACCTTCCCGCCACAGTGGTACCTATGTATCTACTTGCACTGGTGTACTTTCGAACTGCTAGGTTGGCAGAAGCTGGGAATGAGCAACGGGAGCTCACTCCATCATGGGGATTTAAACCGCTGACCTTCTGATTAGCAAGCCCAAGAGGCTCAATGGTTTATACCACAGCGCCACCCTCATTGTTAGCCATATGTGGAGTAGAACCGTGGAAATCAAGGGACTTAAGTCTGGAAGGCCAGATTCAACTAAGCTGGAGTTCCCAAATCTGCTCTGGAGGATCAAGAGAGCATCTAGAACACAGTGGGAGGGGGAGGGGATCCTTTTGCCCAGCAAGCAGAAATCGGAAGAGCACAACGTTAAATTTGTCCCATGGATGCCAATGTGTCTACTCTGACCGTACCACCCTACCCATTATTGGGAGTAGAGGTGGTAAGTTGTTCTAAATTGTTTTTAACATTTTGTTTTGATTGTTGTAACTCACCCTGGGACCTGGGGGTAATGAACTGGAATTGAATTGAATTGTAATAGTTTGGGCCAATTAAAGTCCAGAAGATTAAAGGTTGTTCAGTGGAGGCAGCCAGAGATAAACCTGGGTATCCACTTGGTGTCAGCGGTGAAGTTAAGACAGAGCAGTTGGCTTGCTTGCCTCCCTTTCCTCTCCTAATGCTGGCTACAGCCTGTGCTGTCACAGAAGGCAACGAGGTTTGGGATCCTAGCTGCTGTCAGTTAATGACATTTAATTGCCCCTCATTGATGTTTCCTTAGCAACGTGTCTCATCTGCATTAGAAATGGTCCCTGCGGCACATTTCATGTTATTGGAATAAAGGTTTAACAGGGCATCTTATATAACACTTCGATACGTATGCGTAAGAATCATGCTGTAGAAATGAAGAGAGATGTGACTAAAGGATAGCTCTTGATTCACTTCCATGAAATCAAGCCAATGAACAGGAAATCCTGGATTCAGTGCTTATGAGAAGCAATATGAGAAGCAATAATTAAATGAGATGGACCAGCAGTAATGAAAACATGATGCTCAGTGGATCCCTCTGTGCATTATGAGGAAGGAAGCCCCAATAAATTACATTTAAGCCCAAGGTCCGGAGAAGCTGATGCACTGCCATCTGTAAAACTAAGCGGGTGAAGACCTCAACAGTTTTTGGGTGGGAAGTCAATAACCTTAGAGATTACTGAAGGAACAACAGAATACAAATGAAACACGAAAGCAGGAAAATGCACACAAGAATTCAGGACAATGGTTCACCTGTCCTGTGGTGGAGACTGATATCACACACGCACACACACACACACACACAGAGAGAGAGAGAGAGAGAGAGAGAGAGAGAGAATGAGAATGAATATTGTCCACGCCAAGCAGATAGTGCTAACCTGCTATTTGACATTGGAAATCTATACCTAAAAGAGACATTCTGGTAAACCCAATTTCCATTCAATTGCATAATTCAATATTCTTTCTAGGAAGTTTTTACTATGATATTGTTCTTCTCCCCTAGCAATACAGATTCTTGTCTGTACATGCCCGATGACTGCTGTGCCAGAGATGTCACTGTTTTCTCTTTGTTTGGGCTCTCTGCCAGTAAATCTCCAAGGAAACTACAGCACTAAATGCAATAGATACTCTTTGAAACTGGCTACCCACCTCCCCCTCATCAACTGCAGATCATTAAACTCACCTGTCTTCAGGTTGCAACTGCAACAAGATGGCTCGCGGCTGTTTGAGGGCCTTTCCAAGGGATAAATGCTCAGCTGTTACACATTCTGTGTTCACTTTGTGCAACTTCCCTCAAAGTTCTAATTCCACTGAAAATATTTTTGATATTTCCAATATGCAGCGTAGCTATTTTTTTTGCAACTGAGGAATACAATTCTTCCTCCAGCTAGCAAAGCTATGCCATCTGGTCCATTATATGAGAATGTGATATTATATTACTGGTGCAACATCAGATATATTTATTATTATAACTATTATTTATTATATTTATATACCACCTGTCAGGGGCTCAGGAGCAGAGGCACAGGAGAGGGAGGAAATAGAGACCGAGGGGGAGGAATCTGAAGGAAATGTTAGCGATGACAGCCGTCCGAGGTCTCTGAGTCTCTCCAGCGACTCGGAGGATTCACAGAAAGGGGCTCCCATGGTCAGAGCAAGGGGGGTGCCTAGGGGGACACCCCAGGAAGAAGGGGCAAGAGGGGACTCAGAGAGCAGCAGTTGGAAATCAGGACCAGCTTCTCCACCAGAGCGCAGTAGGGGGAGGAGTCCCAGGCATCGGGATCAGGCGGCGCACCGCCAGCGGGAGGACATGAGTCAGGATTGGCCACACCTCCATCGGAGAGCGAGGAAACGGTCAAAAGGAAGGTCGGAGACTGGGCGCGCGCGCCAAGTTTCAAATGTACAAGAGGGAGGCGCAGTGGGCAGCCCGGATAGGGAGCCAGGTCCTAAAGCCCGCCGAAAGGAGGGAGGAGACTCAGGGGGGTCAGCGTCAGCGTCAGAAGAGTCCAGGACGGAAGGGACCCCGGGGGGCAGAAGGACCCAGAGGAGAAAGGAGAGACGGAAGAGGTGGAGTAAGGTTAGAGTCTTAAACTGGTGTACAGGGGGCGGAGACTCAGATGGAGCTTCGCCGGTCTAGCCTCTAAGACGTAGAGCTGGGGTGCTCCGGTTTGGAAATGGAAACTGTACTTCAATAAAGACTTTTGTACATTACTGCCGGCTAGCGTTGGTCCTCTGTGAGCTGGGACCTGGAGCCAGCTCTGACACCACCCTTCATCAAAAGGTCTCAGGGCGGTTTACAAGATAAAAGCACAAATAAGTAATGAAAACAAAAACAACAAAGCAATACAATAGTTGGAAGTGGCTTCTTGCTATGGTAAGGTAAAGGTAAAGGACCCCTGACCGTTAAGTCCAGTCGCGAAGGACTCTGGGGTTGCGGTGCTCATCTCGCTTTACTGGCTGAGGGAGCCGACATTTGTCCGCAGACAGTTTTCCCGGGTCATGTGGCCAGCATGACTAAGCCGCTTCTAGCGAAAGCAGAGCAGCACACATAAACGCCGTTTACCTTCCCACCAGAGCTATTTAACTATTTATCTACTTGCACTTTGACGTGCTTTTGAACTGCTAGGTTGGCAGGAGCTGGGACCGAACAATGGGATCTCACCCCGTCGTGGGGATTCAAACTGCCGACCTTCCGATTGGCAAGCCCTAGGCTCAGTGTTTTAGACCACAGTGCCACCTGCGTCCCTTCTTGCTATGGAGGCTATGTTCTATTTCTACTGCCAGAGGCAGTATGCCTCTGCATCCCAGTTGCTAGAAATCACAAGTAGGGAGTGTGCTGTTGCCCTCTTGTGAGCTTCCCACGGACATCTGGTTGGCCACTGTGAGAACAGGATGTTGGGCAGCTGGGCTATTGGCCTGTATCTGCAGGGCTCTTGTGTTCTACGGAGTTGGGAGGGCCAAGCCACTGCTGTGAATGAAGAGATTCTTATGGCAAAATGTGACCTATAATCTATCAGGTTGTTATAATAGACCATCGTGTGAGTAATTTACCGAGAACCAGTGCCAACCAGCGTACTTAGAACTGGTGGACAGTTAGAGGTATCCTGAAAACAGAAAGGGAAGGATTATTGCAGACATCAGTGTGAACTGCACATTCAGCTTGTCAGACTCACCTGACGCACAGCATAACTGCCAGGTGATCCTGGATATCGCTCAATCAGTATCGGGTGCAAATCATTTTGCCACATTCGGTTGATATCTGTGTGAGCAGCAACTTGTTGGATGCTAGTTGCATTTAAAATGGTTGGACGGTGGGAGTACTGAGGAAGAAATTGGAGGCGAGATTATTTTAACATAATAAATAATCATAATGAATGACTGGATGAATTTTGCTATAGTGTTTTGTATATGACAGTAGTGTAGGAAGTATTATTTAAAAATACCCATTAGCAGTTTTCTGTTAAAATAATCATCCAAAGTGTCAAACAATGGAAGTATGTATACACATGCGTCCCACCCCCCAAAAAGAGAAAAACATAGAAACATATCAGCACAATAGTTGCTGCATATAACTGGTGGGATCCAGACTTTGCTCCGAACAATAGAGAGGAGGGTTGGGGACCCTCTAGAACAGGTATCCCTCAAGGGCCAATGGCAGAGGCCCAAATCCTGAAATGTTCTGTGATTGGACATCATGTATCGAATCAGAACACAGGAGCTCAGATTCCTTAATCCAGACTCAAGCTCAGGCAAACACAGACCACTGAATACATAACAACAGCAATAGATAAAAAACACCTATTGAAGATTGCTGGCCCATCTGTTTTGGTGCTTGGTTCTTTTCAGGTGACCGATACAATCTTAAAGAATAAACTCTCATAATAAAGATCTTACTGGTTATCTGTTACTTGCACAGACATCCATTTCAGGTTTTTCCATGCCACTGTGCCAGCAGTCATAACTAGCAGCCTGGGGCTGACTTCAAGAAGCTGGAGTATGTGCAGTAACTTCCTAATTCATCTGAAAGCAAAGTGGAACCTCAACATTAAGGGAAAGTCATGGGATAGAAAGGGTGGTGGGACTTCATAGCATATGGGGACTGTCAAGAAGGGTGGTAAAAAATAAAAGAAAGGCAAGGCTATGCAGATGAGCGTAGCTGAGGTAAATAAGCACGCACATATGTACATTTGTGTTTTGAAAGTGTGAACACATCATTGTGTGTACTGATAAAAGTTGGGATGTGTATATGATGTGTATTCCTGTAATTACCATGTCTTTGTTCCTGCCTGTTACAAAGGTCAGCTTTCTAGGTATTGTAGCCATCTGGGGATATCTGGTGGGTCTATGTTTTTGAAGTTATGTACAAATGCCTCATGTTTAGATTAGTATCATGACTAAATAGGCTTCGAATGCCACATGTGCCAAATTTAGGGTCTGCCTCATGAGGAAGTAAATATACACTTCCTCAAGAGGTGCAAGATTCCAGGAGTGCAGGCGCTTCTCCAGAGTATTTGTTTACAGTACTTGGGAAATGAGGCATAGCAGAGACTGTGGTGTCTTTATGATATATGGTTTATTTACACATATCTACAACCTGAGCCTAAGATGGAGAGGTTCAAAGCATTACACTTCAAGAGGGTCCTGCTGCTTCCCTTGCTGCAGCCCATATTGTGCTCTGACCCCTCCTCTCCAGCTTGCTATGTTTAACAGACTGAGACCTTTCCCCCTCAATCACACCGGCGCAGCCAACTGAAATCATAAAACTCCCTCCTAACAAAAACTCTGTCATTGTCTTCTGACTAAGGATCTCAGAGCTCAGGGAGGGACTGCACCCATTTGTTGGCTGGCACAGAGTCTTTGCTTTGCTGATAGCTTTCTTAATAGCTCTGCATCTTCCCCTTTGTCCTCTTTTAATGGTCCATCTTCCTGTTTGACCTGTATTTCAACATGATAAATCTAGCATCTGGTAGCCCATTTTAAGACTCCAAGCATTGATTAAATTCTAACACTTACTAAATCCAGAAATTATGGGTACCTTGCACCCACAAACTCTGGCACCCAAACTCAAAACAGTATAATATAATTTGAGAGGTATGAAAATATGCAAATAGCTTGGGAGAGAAGTCTTGAAGCTAAATAGAGAGGGTCTTTGCGAATTTTAATCTTCTTCTTTTCTTAATTTTTAGCATGCTCAGTTTACTGTGATTCTTAAATTATAGCTTTCTTGAAGTATGAATAGTGGAAAGCATTATACATCTTAGCCAACAGGGCTCTTTGAACCACAGTGAGATTAGAATGATGTTAGCGGGGAGAAATGAGCACACTTAGCATGAAAATCAATAAAAGACACATACGCCGGCAATCTTCCTGGCAGGACCAAACAAACATTTACTGTAGCCAGTGACTGCCATTATAAGACAAAATACAGTAATGCTATAATCATGCTAATGCAGAAGAATATGTTTTCTTTGGAAGCACAAGAGATAAATGGAGAAATGGAATTGCTGGGTCTGATCACTGATTAAAGGAATGATAGTTTTGAAAAAGTTGTAAGATGTCTCTCCTCCCTATTATTTCATGTTTTAAGCTGAGCTGGGTCTCCTTTTGAGTAGAAAGGCAGGGGGTGTATATGTACATCTTCTCCCCCCCTCCAAAAAATTAAGGTAATAAATGATTCACATTGTGATATGCATGACTTTCTTTACGGGTTTATTTAAAAAACAAACAAAAAGGAGCATTAATAGAAAACATAACGCACTTCCAGACGACTACCATTTTGGAGTGGGAATCAATCACATACAGTTATAATGGCTTGGGATGTTCTCTGCAATAAATGCAGTACCCCCAAATATCAGACTTTTTGTGATAAGGAAAGCGATGGGAAGACACACTGGAAAGTGTTCAACATTGTCTAGCCCAGTGTTTCCCAAACTTTTTTGGGCAACGGCACACCTGTTTACTGAAAAAAAATCTCACGGCACACCACCATTAAAGCCCCGCCCCGTGACGTCAGCGCGCAGCGTCACGCCGGGAGGGACGCACGAAAGTGAAAGTTTTTTCCCTCCCCTTGCCGGGGAACCTCCAAGCTTTGGGGGTGGGAGGAGGCAGCAGAGCGAGGGACTGAGGGACGGCGGCAACTGAGGCGGGGCTTGTTGTGGTGGTGGCGGCGATAGTGGCGGAGGAGGGGCGGCGCGGGGCTTGGAGGAGCCGTCGCCGGGAGTTGCTGCTGCTGTTTGCTGCTGCTGCCCGGACATGCCGCCTCCTCCTCCTCCGCTGTCTCGCGCTCTCCCTTTTGCACGCGCTGCCCGCCGCTCGGCACACACCGCGGAGCCGCCCCCGGCTCGACGCGGATCCTCGCCCGCCGCGCCGCTCTCACCGCCCGACTCGCCCGCCTCCTCCACGGCACACCAGCCAATGTCTGATGCACAAGTAGTGTGCGCGGAACACCGGTTGGGAAACACTGGTCTAGCCTCCTCACAAATTAGGATGAGTGCTCAATATACTGGTAATCTGGAAGCCCCCAAAGAACCAGGCTGTGATATATAGCCTGGGTTCTCCGACCACCAGTGCAAGGGCTGTTGTGTGAAAATACTGGTTGTGCATCCAGTGCAACAGCTGTGCAAATGGAAGTGTATTATGCAACAGAAATATAGGAGCTACAGCAACTGGTACGACGGGTTTCAAATGTGTTTCAAAGATATACTATGTACACAGCTGCAGAAAGGGAAAAGGAGCACTGGATTTTGAGTTGACATATGGGTGAGCAGCAGTAAGTTAAAACAACGGCAGCAACTGAAATGCCATGTTTACTTGCCCTTAAGTGGATAAATTCTGCCCAGTTATATTTCTGCCTACTTTGGCATAAATCCTGGACTGCATCTGTGGCCCCATTGTATGTGCTTTAACATCATATGCACACAGACAGAGCCATTATTTTATAAGACACTTTGATGTCAGGAAATCATATGTTCTTTTAAAATGGATGACCCGTTAGATCAGAAGCAGCAGAAAACTAGACAGCGCTTAATGTTGGCCACAATTATCACAGACTTCAGAACGAAGATATTACAAAAGTACAGCATTAGGAACTCTCTTGTGAACGGGGGGGAAATCCATATTTAGGCTTGGCATATGATCTTGTAATAAGGAATTTACAGATGCTACCTTGCTTGCCGTAGCCTGAAATCTGGGATGGGGAACCTATGGCCCTCCAGACTACAATTTATGCAAGGTGGAGCTGATGTAGGTTGGGGTCTAACAGTATCTGGAGAACCACAAGTTCCCCATCACTGCCCTAGTTTACATCAAACCTGGGACAAAAGCAGCAAGGGAAGGAGTAAATAACTGCTTGTCCTTAAAAACATAAGGCTTAAAGACGCATCAGGGCTTTCTGTGACACACTAGTATTAAGCGTATAGTCTACTGTGGTTAAAAATAACCCACATTTCCCCATTGCCTTCAAAAGGAATTGAATTGAACCCAGGAGACCTGGTATCCCAGGGTCTAAGGGATTAATTTGCATTTACTTTATGCCAGCTAAAGAGTGCTAACCAGGCAGTAAACATGTAGCATTATTGAATGTAATGTGATGCATTATTAATACAGTAGGATAGCACATAAGTGTCTGAAGTTAGCATTTATAGGCAAGTTTGCATGAAGTTTCAAAACATGCTTCCTGAACTTATGCTATTTGGCCATACACAGACCTTCCCCAAAACACAATGCAGTGCATGTTGATTGTTCAGCTTTGCACTTGCATCAGTGGCTGAGCCAAACCTTCTACAACCACAACCACACTTAACAGCAGCACACTATCTTATGAGAGTCTTGTCCGGTTTGGTTCAGAATGGTTATCAGAGGGGAAAAGAAGTGTGCATTGTTAAATAAGGTTGAAATCTGATGTGCCTTGGAGTAGCAGGGCACACCTGACACCCCACTGCCCTCTCATCTTTTTATTGTAGGGTTTGTTTTGTTTTGTTGGTAGGGGAGGGCTGCCTGTCTTTTGGAGGGGGCGTCCTGCTTTCTTCGGTCTGTTTGTTTTGGGGTGAGTAGGTGCTGATTTGCAGAGAGGGGTTCTGAACATGCCCAGTTTTTTATTCAGTGAAATGGGTATTTTGTGGTGCCCAGAACCATTTCTTTAGATTTGAAAATGTTCCTCTGGGGCCAAGAAAGTTGGAGGCCCCTGATATATCCACTTACTTTGGAGAAAGCTCAGTAGGAGAAAGCTTAATTAAACTCAATATATAGGATTGTCCATTAAGTGTCTGTCTGTCTCCATCAACAAGCACCTTGATATATATAAAATGGTAATCAAATCCAT